GTGTGTGTGTGTGTATTTTAGAGCTTCTGAAAATTGCACACATACAGTATGTTCACACATACACATACAAACCAAAGCTGACTGCCTGTGCTGCTTTGTCTTCTAAGAGATGGATTGTAGGCTGTCAGTCATGTATGTGGGGTGGCATTCCCTGCCAAGGCCTCTACTGGCTCTGCTATAGGGAGATAGCATAGAAACAGACCAACACTCTCTCTCTCTCTCTCTCTCTCTCTCGCTCGTTCTCTCACTTGCACAAACACATACACACACACACAATACAGACACTGTTCTGCATAATACCCTTTGCCAACCACCCAGTCCTGTGAAATGGCTTCAGCTGTGGCCACACTTCTTAGCCACACACACACAGCACTCAGCAGACATTAAGCCAGACTCCCTGCTTGCAACATAACCTTGCTTAATCCTCCATCATACACACACCGACACACACACTCAGACCCACTCCACCCTGCTGAGTGGCCGAGTGCAAGCCAAACACCTCTTGCCTACTGACTGGGAGCATCAGTTTGTTAAAAATATCAAACCAAGACCGGCTTAAAGTTCCAGTCTCCTCAAAAATGCTGTCGAGCCTGATGACAGGGTTCAGTATGAGACATCGAGAGGCAGTGGGCTGATTTAAAATGGGTTACCCATGTAGACAAATACTCTGCTTCCTAATAAAAACAGGAGTCAGTGAAGAGGATTTGAGGTATTCATGGTTGAAAGATGTTGTTGCAGAGCTGGTCAGCATAAGCAGAACAAATCTAACACTAAATGCTTAGAGATAGCCCTGCTTTCTTGCTGCTGGTTGGTAGCATTAGGTTTAGTTGGTCTAATCCCCCAGCTGTATTACCTTGACACCTCTACCGACATTTGGCAGCTTTATTTCCATGTCTTTGTGAGTGTACAGAAGGCAGGACTGCCAAAAAGGCCCGAGTCTTGGTTCTTTCATTTTTGTTTTAAGTCAGAGCCTTACACAAGATGCAATGCTTGGTTTTGCTTCTCCAGTGTTTAAAGGACATCAGCCAAAGTCAATTTTCTTGCATCCTCATCTTTTTTATTGTCCTACATGTCTTTGTGTTTGGGGTGAAAACAGGTGCAAACAATAACCGCTGATTGGAGTAAAGAGTCCGAAGCTGAGGTGAAACTGAAACAGGAAGTAATGTCAAAATAAAAGCATGAGACCAGAAACAGGCAGGACAAAATCATGACAGTATGTTTTGATGCTAATACTTTTGAACTTTTGCTTAAGGACTTTTACTTGTAACTGAGTATTTTTACACTGTTGTATTGCTACCTTTACTTAAGTAAGGGATCTCCCAGACCCTGATAGACTAGTGGTTAGGGCGCAGCGTTCTCGCCACTGCGGCCCAGGTTCAAGAAGGGAAGGGCATCCAGTGTAAAACGTGCCAAATGTCAACATGCAAATCGTCAGTATGACGATTTGCTGAGGCGAACCCTAACGGGAAAAGCCAAAAGTGACATTCATTCATTCACTTAAGTAAGGGATCTGAGAACTTCTTCCACCACTCAAATCCTACTAAAACCACTAAAAACCAAAAATATAAATAAGCTAAACTGTAATAGAAGAAAAGTTGATTTTGTGAAAATCCATCCATTAGTTGTTGGTATTTCCATGATACCATAGTGGTCCAGATCTCCAGACATCATCTAATGTTGAGCCATGCCACTCACATGGCTTTTAGCTGAGTTAATTGTCATTCTGATTGTATGCCTCTCCCTGTTTCAGCGAACAGAATCTTGTTCTGTTTTATCGAACCAGATCACAAGTTATAATCCTGCGTACAGTCGCATTCAGCAGAACCAAACTTGATCTGATCTGGTACAGTTCTCCTACCCACACACAGGCACCACTCAATAAATTCATCTTCAGTGTGTGCTAGGAGCCAGGGCTTTGTACTGCCCTGAACAAGTCAATGTCAGTGAAACTGTGTTCAGCTTCCTGGAAAGAGCCAGTATTTCTCTCTCTTTCACCCTCTCTTTCACTATCTGCAGTGTGCCATTAAAGAAATTATGCTGCCTCTTCACAACACCACAACCTAAAAAGCTGGGAGCGACAGTTGATGAAAAGCTTTCTTTGGTCGAAGGTGGCAAAAATCGATGGGTTTATTTAGCACTCAGACTGACTGGAGCTAGAACAGCTTCATGGACAGGCTTTTACTGCGCTGACACCATAAAATTGCCACTACTGGTTTTGCCTGAGTTAATTACTCACTTTCATCCACTGGCTGATCTTTTTTTGTCCTGTGTGAATTGTTCCCGAGGTAAAATGCCAGGTTTTTTCATACATTATGAAAAAGCATAAAAGAAGTGAAATATTGAGGTGCTGTGAGATGGAATGGCCTGACCCAGGTTCAGCTGAGGTGGCCAAAAGTGAACTGTACAATTTTTAAAACTGAACTGAGGTTAGGCATAGATTTAAAAAATGGAGAGACAGAAAAGCAGAGCTGCTGTGCTCCTCTCGGCCTGCAATGCGCAGTCCATCCACATTAGTTCTGATCACTGACTACCTCGGGGCTTTCTTTTCTTCTTCTTCTTCCATCTTTCACTCTCTCCTTCCCTCTCTTTGTTTACTACGTAGAGGTTGATTTATGTTGGCTGCACTTGGCAGAGTTGGGTGGCGTGGGCGAGATACGGCAGCTGAAGGGGAGAGAGAACAGGAGGGAGGAAAAGAAAGGGAAGCAAAACAAGTAAAAGCTGCATCAGAGTGATGCATCAGGGGAGAGGAGAGAGGGATGAGCAAAGAGGAAGCAAGACTAAGGGATGGATGAGAATAGTAAGTGAGGAGGGAAAGATTACAGGATAGGTGAGAAGACAGGTAGGTGTTGGACTGGCCTCAGGTGTCTCACTCTGATTTGTATCTTTTATGAAGGTTCTTCATGTCAGAACACAAGGTCTCACACTGCAGCCCCTCTGGCTCGGTCACTCCTGGTTCTTGTTTATTCCTCATCCCTCTCATTGTGTTTGCTTGCACATTTTAGTCATATCACTGACAGTCTTGGTCAGAGTAGGTTAAGTTAGAATTGATTACATTACATTACATAGAACTTTAATGGTCCCTTTGGGAAAACAGCGCCATGGCAGTTGCAGTGTCATAAGAACAGTGAAGTAAATGGGGGGTCATGGTAATCATCCAATCAGTTGTATTAAGCAGAAAGTGATGAATGAAAATGTGCACCGTTTATGGTGCTGCCTTGTTCACAGAATATTTAAAAAAGGCATCAAAACACTGTGAGATATAGATTTAAGTAGAGATATTTTAAAAAATAATTATGAAGATTCCCTTTTTTTTTTTAACTATATACCCAAATATGCAAATGAGGAGTACAAGATGGTGACCAGGCTCGGACATTAGCATGACTGGGTATGACAATATTAGTGGTGCCCTTTGTATCAAACTTGAAGAAATATAAAATGCTGTCAGTTGAGGACCTCTGTGTGTTCCCCCTTCATCGCACCTTGTTGACCACTGATTCATCACGAGAAGGCTGTAACTGTATTTTATAAAAAGAAAGTCACTTCGGCTTTTCCCGTTTAGGGGTCACCACAGCGAATCGTCACCACAGCGAATCGTCACACTGACGACTCACATGTTGACATTTGGCATGTGTTTTACGCCGGATGCCCTTCCTGACGCAACCCTGACCGCAGCGGCGAGAGCGCTGCGCCTTAACCACTAGCCTACCAGGGACGGCTCCTGTAATTGGATTTTATAGCATCTTCAAAATAAGAAAAAAAGAGCAATAAGTGACTAACCAGCCAAAAGCATCAAACTGTACTGGCAACCCTCAGAAGAACATCTTAACACGCTTAATGTAACCAGTGTTAATCTTAACACTGAATGTACAACAGCCCTTTACATTCTTAATGCAGATCAACTCTATTAATAATTAATAAAATAATAAGAGTAAGGCTATCGTCACATTACAGACCTTAATGCTCAATTCTGATCTTTTACTGTAGTCAGATTTGATCTGTTTGTATGGTTCACATTCATGTTTATAAGTGGCATCTACCCACTGTCAGTGTGAACATTGTTGAAGTCCTAAACTCCCTCACATGTGTAGGTTTAACTGAACTGTGAGCTACATATGAACAACAATAACGTCAGTTTGTTCAACTTCCTCAGAAACTGCTCAGCTGTGCCATGTTCTCTCCAGTTTGGCTTGATCAGAACCTTCTGCTTAAATGTCCAACAAAGGTGGTGCGTCCTCATCTCTCCACTGGCCCCCCTCACTGGCGTTGATCTCCTCCATGTTTATTTTTACTGCTCTGTGAGGGGCCGACACTGAATGTGCACGCACAGAGGAGCAAGATGTTGACAAAACCACAGGATTTATGATCAGACAATTCTCACAGCGCTCACATAGTCTGAGATTGGATATGAATCGGATCTAGGTCCACATACTGTATGGATCTGATTAGAAAAAGTCAGATTTGGATTGTTCACATATTCATGAAAAATCAATCAGAACTGAGTCCCTTGGAGGGGAAACAAGTTGGATTTAGGCCCCTTCAGCAGCTAATGTGAATGTAGCCTATCAGTCTGCAGCCGCCTGATTATGGTGTCAGAGAATCACTAAAGTTTTACATTTCATCCTGAGGGAGACATGTACAAGTGTACCAAATTTCATATTTCATAACATCCGACAGAGGTAGACATTTTAGCAAAATTCACAGCAGTGCTGGAGAATAAGTCAGGAGATCCTTCCTCTGCGGACCATGAATTAGTGTACAAATTTCAGGGCAATCCATCCAAAAGCTGTTCAGGTATTTCGGTCTGAAACACAGTTGTGGACCAAAGGTCCGACATTGTCACCAGCAGAGCCACACCGTAGCCAATATGTAGGAGGAAGAAACCCTTGTAGAAGAAAAGGCTTGTTAGTTATCCCAGTGTGGTCACAGTATGTGCTGAGAAGAATGCACCCTTTTAATGACATAAAAAAAACTGTGTCCTTTCTCTGCCTCCCTTCCTGCAGCCGGACAGCTGAGCCAATCAGCTCACTTCTCCCTCCAGCTGCCCTACACCGTGCTGGGCCTCGGACGTAGCGCCAACTTCCTGGACCATCTTTTTGTTGGCATCCCTCGGCAGCCTGGAGAGACGGTGAGCAAATATGAGAAGGCTATATTACCTGGACAGGTCACTGCTTGAGAACAGCCACAGGCTACACACTCTCACAGAATATTTGAAGGAGGTTCTTTTATAGAGGTGTCTGCATACTACAGTAGACTGAGGAAAGTGAGGAAGGGTTCACGTCACTGCAATACACTGGGTGCAAAATGCATCAAAATAAGTGTCGAGAACATGTGTAGTACTGTTCATGTGCCAAATAAAATCATTTCTGAGCACCCCAACCTATCCTCAATGTAACAGTGTGTGGCTGAGACAAAAGACAATGAGACACGAACAAAAACAGTCTCGGGATCAAGATGTTAAGGACCAGGAAATGTTCCCAGAAAAAGACCAGCAGGTTGACTCGTTTGTGATAAAATGGATTCAAGCTAAACTGAGAGCAAAATTGTTCTTTTTTTTTTTTTGATATTCAAGCTTTATCTTACATTAGGCTGGATGCAACACATTTCTTCTGAGAATTATGAGACTTGTTTAAAGGGTATTTTCCTTATATTCAGAAGAGGGATTTTCTTCCACATATTTTCATATTAAATTAGAAATGCTGAACAAACACAGCAGTGTTTCTTTAATCTTGCTAAAATGTTTATTGCTTGGTTGAGGCTGTGTGTTTTTTAATTCAACCAGCACCACGAGAACATACTCTAACTGCTGTTTATATCAATTGTCAGGTAATGAGGTGTTGGGGTAAGACTTCACAAGAGTAGGGGAGAATCCATCTCAGATCTTTTTACTTTTTTTTTTTTACCTAGTGAACAATGATGATGTATTCACACGAAACAATGTAATACCCACACAGTCAGTTCTTCAGTCCCTTTCCAGTTGTCTACTGGAAGTCTATGGTTTGCTTGCCTATTTATGGATCCTGTTCATCACAGGAAAGTAGTGTTTTATTTTTGTTTCAGAATTTTCATAGTTTAACCTACTGTAAATTGAATTCTCAAGATATCTTTTTCTAAACTAAATCCTGCTCAGTGAGGCTAAATTAGGTAGTACTGCAACTCTCACCATTAGAAAAAGTCACATTTTGTTAAGATAAATGTGAGAGGATAGACTGGGTGATAGAGCTTTGTTTCCTTTATCCACCTGTGATTAAAGAGAGGATGAGTGGTTACTGTAGAAATTGACATACAGCATCTGACACAGGCAGTTGCTTTAGGATAAATATGTTCCAAATCTTACTTATAATGTATGGGACGGTTGATCACACCACCTGCAGAACTGACAAATATGCAGGTACCCACTGAAACAGATGTACCAACACCCCTGCTTTTGATTTATGCTTCAAACACTTCTTTATTTAGCAGCTATATTCATAGAGGATGTATGGATGATGGCTCTCTGGATGCAGCCTGTGTGTTCCTCCTGTGCTACCACAAGCTAGCGTGATATTAATATAGTAAATAATTGATTGGTTTTATGCCTTTAATCTATTCATGAGCTACATTTCTACACTGCATCGCTTCAAATGTCAGTGCTGTTGAATTCAGCTCACACCATCTCTGCATTTATCTCCATATCTGTTTTCACTCTCACCCTCTCTCTCACATAGCACTTGTCACACTGAATATTAGACACAACAGGGCTCTTTTTTCCCCTCCTGTGTGGCACCAAGGTGTTCGTCAAACAGCTGATTAGAATTTCATATGGCCTGGTCCATGACTCAGAAGCTGTAGCACAACAAGAATACTCAACTCCAACAAGCCACTTTATTGGCCCCTTTCCACACACTCATTTTTCCTAAACCAAGAAATATGATCTTTTCTCTTCATTTCCTTCTCTTCATGCATTCCTTCTACTAAGTGAATTAATGAATGCATAAAGATGCCTAGTGGCACTGGGGAGTGGAGTAACTCCATCAAATGTATCTGTAATGAGAAGGAGAAGCTCTTTAGGAAAGTGGAGGTTTAGAAACCATGAGTGCTCCACCACCCTGCTCAGCTGGCAACTTTGGATCTTTCTGTTTGTCAGTGCTCTTGATCTATCTTCCTCTCAATTTTCCCTCTCTCTCTCTCTCTCTCTCTCTCTCTCACTCTGTCTGTGTTTCTATCCTACTCCCATTCTCTCACTATCTCCCCTGCTGTGCCCTTTACAGTTTTCTCCTCTACAATGAAAGTTTCTGCCTGCTGTTTCACAGAAAGAGAGGTTTTGTAAAATCTACTCCGATATCTTCCATCATCTGTCCAATCATTACTCTCTTTTATTCACCACCTCCCTATCTTTGTCTGTGAGGCTCTCACCTCCTGTTCACTTATCTTCCACCCAGGGGGATTCCCTTTGCTGCTCAAAATGGTTTATTTCACTAATCAGTCCCCTACTTGTCACTCTGTCTCTCTCTCCTTCCATCTCTCTATCAGTCTCCCTCATGCTCACATAGTGTGCCAGTTTTCCTGGCTTTGAACCAGTGTCTCTCTTTCTCCCTCAAGACTTGGGAACACTTTTCTCTTCCAAACAGCCAGATCAGATCTGCTCTAAGGCAGCAGTAGTGGAGGCTGACTCGTCTCCAGCTCTGCTCCCCCGCCATTTGCCACACAGACAGCAGCGCTTTCCAAGAGCTAAGTGACAATGGCTGGTGGCAAGAATGTGCTTGTTATGTAAAAAGCAAAGTCGTTGTTGCACATTTATTCAAAATAGCTGTGAGTTGTGGTTCCTCCTAATTGCTGAAGAACAGAGTCACATTTATAGAGTGACACTTCCAGGTTCTGCCAAATGTTGAATTACAGCTTTTAAATGATTAATATGATGCCCCCTTCCCTGTTCATGGTCTCTGAACTCTTAACTCCTAGTGAGGCTGAGCAGGGGCGAAACCAAAACACAAGGCAAAGTCAGACAGAAGGAAGCATAAAAGAAAACCACTGGAAACTGATGGTGACACCAGGCTTTGACAGAAATCTAAGCAACCTTGTATCTTCTTCTTCTTCTTCTTCTTCAACTTTCGGCTGTTCCCATTAGGAGTCACCACAGCGAATCATCTGTTTCCACCTAACTCTATCCTTGGCATCCTCTACTCTCGCCCCAATTAACTTCATGTCCTCTTTTAGCACATATAGCATATATCTCCTCTTTGGCCTTCCTCTTGACCTCTTGCCTGGCAGCTCTATCTCCATGACCTTGTCCCCAAAACAATCAACCTGAGCGGCCCCTCTGATGTGCTCGTTCCATCCTGGTCCCTCCTAAAGAGAACCTCAACATCCTCATCTCTGCTCCCTCCATCTCTGCCTCTTGTCTTTTCCTCACCACTACAGTCTCTAACCCATACAGCATAGCTGGTCTCACTACTGTCTTGTACACCTTTCCTTTGATTCTTGCTGACACTCTTCTGTCACACAACACTCCTGACACCTTTCTCCACCCACTCCAACCTGCCTGCACTTGCCTCTTCACCTCT